TGCTTAGCAAAAAGCAAGTAATTTCAATTTAATCAAACACACTGACACACTAATAGCTATTATATATATATTCGTAATTTTACATTTGCACTTTTGCTTTTCTTTGCGCTCTCATTCCAGCTGAGAGCATACGCAAAAAGCACGCATACCGTTTGTTTAGCCAGGCGGTAAATCTTTGTTAAAATACGTTTTTGCAGAGTTTCGCACAATCTTGCAGAGTTACAGATTTTCACCGCTATTTTACAGCGCCACGGCGCTAATACGTAACGTACACGTCGGGAGACAGCTGCGTACTAAACAACAAAAAAGCAAAGCTTCAACTTTTTCAAGTCGTTTCGTTTAATTCACTTGCAGTGAGCTCCACACAAACACACAAACACACACACACACATGCACACAAACGCGAGAGGGGGAGAGACAACAATAAACAATTGTTAAGATTGCCGCTCGCTGCTGAGATAAATCGAGATTAGAGCAAACAACAACAATAACGACGCCGCTTCTGGCAAGTGCGAGAGCACTCACACACACACATACATGTATGTATGTACATGTATGTATGCATGTACGTACACACACATACAATATGTAGCAAATAAAATTTACTGTAAAACAAAAAGTTTTGCAAAACTTCACGTTAATATAACATTAAATACACGTGAGCGCGCTCTCTCAACTCTCACTCATTATTACATTTTAATCTCTTTCTTTTCTCTCTCGCGATCATCGCCCACATGACCTGCAACTCTCGCAGATGACAGTGCAAAAAGGAAATAAGAAGAAACAAAAAAAAAAAAAAACTTTAGCAAGGAGCAAAAACTAAACAAGTGATTTATTTCCAGTCAATACCGGATTTAGATTCTAAATTTGGACAATGGGCCAAATTTACATACATACATACATCATAGTTTTCACTTGTTCAACAATTTTCGCTAGTTTTACTCGTTTAAAATGTGAATCTTGCCTTGCCTTGTGTGCTGATTGAAGAAATTAGTGCAATTGATGCGATGCGGGCGAGGGTGCGCAGCTGGGGACTATGTCGGCGGCGGCACAGTTTTACAGTTACACGCGATGCACGATGGACAAATAACAGCAACAACAACAACAGCAAGAATAACTATAACAAAATCAGCACAATGGCGGGATGCTGCGGCTGGTACAAATACAATTACAACAACAAAATACAACAACAACAACAACAACAACAACCGTTTACTTTTTCGCGCGCTCTCCGTCTCCTTCTGTCTGTCTTGCTTTCTCGGTCTCTATCGGTGTGATGTGGACTCGTCGCGAACTTATTTTCTTATTTTTTTTTTGTTTCGTGCTTTATTTTTATTTGAAATGTACTGCGCAAATTTACAACAAACAAGATAGCAGCAGCCGCAGCAGCAACAACAACCACATCGACACTGACGATGGAATATCCTCACCACCTTCACGGTCCGTCGATTTGTTTTTACCGATCACGCGCAAGAGACTGAGGCTTGAGTTGCCGTTGCGTTGACCAAAAACTTATGAGGCCGTTTCATTTTGCACCTGCCAGGGCTGCACTCACTCACTCAGCGCTCAACGCAAAACAACCAATTGCAGCGGCCAAGCAATGTGCATGTTGTCCATCCCATTGAGCTGCCGATTTCCAGTGAGCAACTCTTTTTGAAGCGAATGAGCGAAAAATGTTTTACAACAGCCCTGGTTTGTGTCTGATACATACGTAAAACTAGTTATTGCTCGCTTGCGATCGGCACATGCGGCCTGCCAGACGCACGGCATGCGCTACAAGTTCAAAGTAAGTTTGTCAAGTTGTACACTACATTTTATATTTCACAATACAATTATATTCTAGTTCTTTGATAAATTAACGGCAAATTAAGATATACTAATTCGTGTCAACCTTTCGCAGTTTTATGCTAACTATTCCACAAAAATCAAGTGAACTGCAATGCCCGTCAGCTTCAAGTGTAGGTGATTAAGCGTAGTTTTCTCTTTTGTGGTTGAAGCACAAACACACACACAGAGACACAACCATGGGTATGAGTAAGCGCTCATTTGTGCGACGGAGTGTGTGTTTATTTAAAAGTTTTACCTGTTGCTTTTCAATTGTTTTACATTTCGCCTGGAATTATTTTGTGCACAATTTGTCAGCTTTACGTTGGCTTGTTTGGCCATTGCATACAGAATTAGCTAATACTGCTAGATTCGTTTTACAATTACAGCTACAGGTGGCAAACAGACCACACTCAAATACCCTTACAATTTCTACATACATATACATACATATATATGAGGAGGTTTGTATGTGTTTGTAAGCTTCGCTTGTGTAAAAACAAAGACCCGACTTGAAGACAATGTTGTTGTTGTTGTTGTTGTTGCTGCTGTTGTGGAGAGGGCAGAAGACCAAAGCAAAAGCGGCAGCATACATACAAATATACATGTATGTATGTGTGTGTGTGTGTGTATGTATGCACATACATCTGCGATACGTAATTTCTTGGGGTTTTGTGTTTGGCTACTTGAATTGCAATAAAACTGGTTTCTAAGTCAGGCGTATAATGTACAATATACATACGATTGCATGCCGATATGTACATACATATGTACGAGTGTACATACGAGGATTTAATTATGGTTGTTGGTCGTTGTTTGTTGTTTGTTGTTGCAAGGCAAATGCATGCCATGCATTTTTTTCCATCAGTATATTTCTTCAATTTTGCCACACTCTGACGGCAGCAGCATTACACTGTAAATTGCATCGACAGGCCAACTGTGTTGATGCTCCCGAAACCGGCTTAACGTGTACGAGTGTGCGTGCGTGCGTGTGTGTGTCTATATGTGTGTGTGTTCGTGTGTTCCAGGCTTGCATTGGCATCCCGGTACCTGCGACTCTCACGCTCTCTGGCTCAACACAAATCTGACTCATACTCCCGCTCACTAAAACAACAACAACAACTGCAAGCTCTTCAACATTTACAGTTAGGGTCCGTTGCTGCTTTTGCCATTTTCCTCAGCAACAAGAAGAACAACAACAACTTGCTGGCGAATTCAGTTTTTGCATTTTGTTTTCATTGAGGCTTTCGTTGAGTCCGTTCATAGGGCGACTCAGGCAACGATTTGGGGCGTTTTTTGTTGTTGTTGTTGTTTGGCTTGTGCTGATGTCACACGCCCAACGCCCCCTGTGTTAGAGCAGACGCAGATCAGCGAAACCTTTTTTTTTGTTCTCTCCACAGAACATGCAAATTATCAACAATATTGGCTTTTAATTTTGTTATTGCGTATGATTTGCGCTTTTTGTTGTTATCGCCGTCTCGCCGCCTTTTGGGGGCGTTGACTGACATTGTCACGGTGTCTGCAGGCGGACGGTGGGCGGAGAGGGGAGCAGACGCCTTGTATTTAAATCAAGTTTTGTTATTGTCGCCGAGTCTGACTTTATCATCAGCGCTTCGTGGAGTTCAAAGGCCCAATTAACCAAATCCAAAAACAACAACAATTGCAAATGGGCGGCTGTTTTTTTTTTTTTCTTATTTTTTACTGCCTGCCGCCTGTTAAATGTCATAAACATTGTTATATTGTAAATGCATTTTTGTGTGCACATACATATCAAATGGCAGTCGCAGCCAGTTTTCCGTTTAGTCGTAGAAACGTGCTGGTATTTCTCGAGCGCAATCTTCAAATAAAACAACAACGAGAAAAAAATAACAATATTTTTTTTTTTTTGAAGCCTGGGTGCAGGCCACAACGTTTGCTGGCAGCGCAGTCGCGACGCAGGCAGCATAATTTACATACGTGACAATGCCAAAGCGCAGCTTAAGTCACGTTTTCGTTTCACGCTTGTTTTGATTGAGCGAATGCGCGTCTGCTTATCGCGGCGTTGTAATCACTGGCGCTGTTGACACCGTGAACACCCTGTGCCTGTTGCACTTGCTAAATTGGGGCTGCGCAGCGCTAATCTCGTACAAAATGTGATCTGGCTTTGGCCTGACTTTAGCGCTTATCAGCACGCTTTCGAACACTGAACGCCCACCACACACGCGCAACTGTCAATGTGTGTGTGTGTGTGTGTGTGCGAGTAATTCAATTATTTTGTATATTATTTTCAATGTGCAACAAACGCGACAATAAAATAACAACCCCAACAACAGCACAGATAAGTGTTGTCGTTGTTGTTGTTGTTGTTGTCGCTGTTGTTGGCGCTATGGCACCGACTGGCACGGGCACTGGCACAGCAATTATTCTGTATTCGCTTGGTCGCCGTTGAGATAGTGTGAGACTTCCGTTGAGCAGTGGCGGCTGCCCAGGGGCCGGGGCGACGGGGCAGAGTGGAAACGGAAAACAGCGAAAGTTTTGTTTTCAAAGGAAAACACTTAGAGACGGTTTTTTTCTATTTGCCATATGCAACACGATAAGCAGATCGTTCTCTTAATGGCATAATAAATTGCAGCAGTTGCAAAAAATAGAAAAACGTGTGACAAGGTCATTTAATTGATATTTGTATGACATTCAAAAACAATTTTTTGCGCGCTCAACAGCTTTAACACAGTGGCAGCACTGGCAGCAACAGTGTTATGTTATGTTTTTTCAGCAGCATGGCAACAGCTGTTGGTTGAGCACTTCGCTCAACAGCTGCTTAACAGTGGGAGCAGCGTGTGGAGTTATCGCTTTGCATGCCTAACATTTCGATAGGCAGTTGTGCGCATATCGCCCGACCACCGCGATTTGTTGACCGTCTTAAACATATTTATAATTGAAACATTTATATTTGATCGCCAATTTTCTTATTGCATTTAACGTGGTCGCGCAGCTGCATTAAATATAAGTACGTAACATATGCGCGCAACAAGCGAACGCGTGCAAATTAGTTTTGTTTACCTTTTTTCCCCGTGCTGCTGCTGTTCGATATCGAGAAATTCGCTGCCTGCAACATATGTACACACACGTATGTAAATAGCCATATGCATATGTGTGTACATACATACATATACGGGCACATATGTAGATGTTGTGTGTGCTGTTTGTGCGTTCGCGGAAAATGGCATTTAATAGCAGAGAACAGTTAAGTTAATGCGCAACGATGCAGATGCCGTCGCCTGCAGTTGCGCTGTCCACCAGGTGTTTATTTTAAGAGTGGCCCCCAAAACAAAACAACAACTAAAAACAAAAAAAAAACGAAAAACCACAACAATAACAACAAGGAAAAACGTTTGACGCGCGAGCTGTTCACATGGAAAGCGTTGCCCAAACAATTGGCTTTTCCCGCTCCCGCAGTCGTCGTAGCCGTTGCTGTTGTTGGTCATGAATCTGAATCTAAATCGAAATCTGCAGCAAAGTAAGTCAAACGACACACACACACACACACACATACACGCACGCACGCACTCGCACACGCACACGCATACATGTGCACGCACTGTGTACATAACATAATTATCGACAAGTTGCGCTGTTATCTGTCTGATAAGTGCGCTGCTTCGATTAGCATTGTCTTATTGGTTTTCCAATTAGATTTTTTACACTCTCATTCTTGTTTTGTTCTGTTTTTGCTTTGAGGCAACGGCACTTTTGCTCTTTGCGGTTTCTTTCGCATATGCTGCTCTCTCTCTCTCTCCCTCTCTCTCTCTCTCTTTTGGCATTATCTGCGCGCGTTCATCTTTGTTTGTTATCCCTGCAAAAATCCTATTTGTATATTTATTAAGTGCCTTGGCTTATTTATCTTGCGTTTCTTTTATTTTCGGACTGCTTTTGATTTATGTTTCTAATAAAATTTCAATAGACTTGCAATTTGTCGTTTTGCATAGCAGCCCCCCCCCCCCCCCCTCCCCTCTCGAATGACATGCGTTTGCCCAGCGCCCTTTTGTTGGGCTTCATGCCACGTGCGTTGGCCCGCACAGTGGTTGCAACGTGCCAAAAACGAAGTCAGTTGTAAAATGCATTTGTTTGTATAAATTTATATAGATTTTAAAACTCTTAAGCTTATTAGCTTAAGACTTTCTTTTGATATGTCTTCTATTATTTGTCGGTGTTCTATTTTTATAACCTGAGTCCATTAAAAATGGGTATAAGGGTATATTGTATTTGTGCGAAATCCAAATGTATGTAACAGGCGGAAGGAAGCATCTGCGAGCTCATTAAGTATATATATTCTTGATCAGCATCAATAGCCGAGTCGATCTAGCCATGTCCGTCTGTCTGTCTGTCTGTCCGTATCTCAAGGATCTCAGAACCTATAAGAGTTACAGACTTGAAATGAATAATGTATGTGCTCCTAGTGCCTGCGCAGATCGAGTTTGTTTCCGATAATCGATAACTTACTCCGTTTCCAAGCAATCGATAAAAATCGATATCGATATCCTGTTTTTTGGGCAATTTTGGTAAATAATAAGAACTAGAGTCACCAAACTTGACACATAGCTTCTGAAAAAGAATATATATATGCATTTGATGTTCAGGGTATCCCCTAATCGGGAGCTCTCGACTCGCACCTCTTACTTGTTATTTTGTTATTTTGCTTTGAAGTTGTTTAAGGTCTTGAATTGTTGACTGGACACTATTATTTTTTTTTGTATTTTAATTTATTATTAATATTATTTTATTGTTTTAATTAATTTTTTCCAACTCTGCTTTAAATATTTGCACACACATTTTTCATTGTCTCTTGCCACACTGTGCCGCCTCACACATCAAAAGCCGCGACGAACGCAAAAATATGCGAAACTTCAGCCAGCGTCTCCCCTCCCCCCTTTCCTGTGGAAGTGTTTTATGTGTTACGCGGACTTTGCCAGGACTTTTGTTGTTACTTAGCTTGCTTTTAGTTGTTGTTGTAGTTGTTGTGGCCTGTTAGGCCTAGGTCCTGCCTTTGGGTGTCCTGCGTCCTGTGTCCTGCCATACATTACAATGAAGTATGTGCGCTCGAATGAATGGTCGCTGCTCAGCACTGGCTCCTGTCCTGGGCGACTTCTACTGGCGACCTTTTCACTCACACACACAGACACACACACACACACACACACACGCACACATGCATACATATGTATATGCAAGCAAGTACAGTGAAAGCTCTCATAATGTGCGCAGCTGATCCTCGGCTATAACATTTTTAATTTTTCAAACTGTTTGCTTTCTTTGGCCTCCAAATCTTTTTCCAAAGCTGACAAAGAGTTTTTCGAATTGTTAGCTGTTCGCGCCGGGCAGGTTTTACTGTAGCATATATTCGCTTAACATGGTCACAGACGGCCAGCCGTGGCAGCGGCTAATTATGACCCGCACGTTTTCCAACCAAACAGCTGGCCGGTGGGCGGAGCGGGGGGGGGGGGGGGGGGGCAGGTTTGCTGCTGCCAGGCAAGACACAAAAGAGGGGGGGGTGGGCAAGTGGAAAGGGAGCGCGGTAAGGGGTAAGGGGTGGGGGGGGGGGGGGGCATACAAGTGTTTAGCTACATACGTTTAAATGTTTCCGGCGCTCACTTTTGTTTCGTGTCGCCTTCAGCCTTGGAGTCTATATTTGGCAACGCATGCAGCCTGACACTTTTAACCCAACCCTCCCCCTGCCCCATGACCCTTGACCCCTGCCCCCTGCTGCCTGCTGCCTGTCGTCGCTCTGTTTGTTTGTTGCACTTTTATTGCGTTCTCAGCTAAGTAGTCCTGTGTCTGTGTGTGTGTGTGTGTGAGCCATAAACATGTCGTCTTTCGCTTGATTTAGCGGCCCGTCCGCCTGCCCGTCCGCCATGGCTTGGTTGCACTGTAAGCCCTTTTGGCCATTGTTTTGGCCCACAATATGGCCGTCTAAGCCACTGACCGCGCCACGCCGCGTATACGTAACGCTCAGCTGATCTGCTGCTTGCCACACAATGTGGCAGCCGCGCCGCGCCGCTTGTCATATTTGTTGCGCCCCAAACGCTGTCAAATTTCTAGTTATCGAACTGACGACAATATAACCAGCTACCGCTTCCAGCTCCACGTTTGCCGAGGGCTGCCACTGAAATTGTAATTTATGCAAGTTCTATTTGTTTTTCACATATGAAAGGTGTCTGAAAGTCGCACTTAATAGCGAGAGATCGCCGGTTCAAACCCATTTACAACATATTTCCTCTAATCACATTTCTCAAAAACATTTGAGTTTGATATTATATTGATAATGTTATTTATGGAAGCTTTATTCTTTATTCATATATAAAAGGTGCCTGAAAGTCGGACTTACAAACGAGAGATCGCCGGTTCAAACCCATTTTCAATATATTTCTCTTAATAAAATTTCTCAAAAAGCGTTGATATTGTTATTTATGAAAGATTTTCGTTCATACATAAAAGGTGTCTAAAAGTCTTAATAAAGAGAAATCGCCGGTTCAACCCCCTTTCACAACATATTTCTTCTAATAACATTTCTCAGAAATAATTGATTTTGATATTGCTATTAGCCCTATTCTTTACTTATACATAAAAGGTGTCTACAAGTCGGACTTACAAACGAGAAATCGCCGGTTCAAACCCTTTTTCAACATATGTCTTTTAATAGCATTTCTCAAAAACAATTGATATTGTTATTTATGCATGCCAAACATTTGATTTTTGTATAAAAGGTGTCTGAAAGTCGGACTTCTAAGCGAAAAATCGCTGGTTCAAACCCCTTTTTCAACATATGTCTTTTAATAGCATTTCTCGAAAACAATTGATATTGTTATTTATGCATGCCAAACATTTGATTTTTATATAAAAGGTGTCTAAAAGTCGGACTTCTAAGCGAAAAATCGCTGGTTCAAACCCCTTTTCAACTTATGTCATAACAAAATTGCCCAGAAATAATAGAGAAATACTTCTACGAATCCCCAACCACAGAAATCAACTTCTCTTTATGGACTGAACTTTCGCCCATTTTCGAGCACCTTCACAATATTGAAAGCAACCCTCGCAGTCGGGTCATAAATCTGGCAGCTGTTTAGCTTGGCAAAAACTGTATCTGTCGCATCTTTTGCATCTGAACACAAAGCCGTGCGGCCCCTTTATTTCGATTTTTTGGGGCGTTTTGAGTTATGCGCAAGTTTGGCAGCAAACTCTTGATAATAACAAACTCTTTATGCTTTACACTGTTTTTTTTTTTATTTTTATTTTTGCAGCCCAAACAAAGAATGGCCTGAGCCGTGTTAGCCTGGTCAAATCGCAGAGCAGCGGCAAGCTGAGCCACAGCAATGAGGCCCCAAAAGCAACAACAACAACAACGAGAACAAACAGTTTGCGAGCTGCCAAACTTAAGATCGAGGCAATGCAACAGCAGCGCAACACGGGCAACACGGGCAACATTATCCTGCTGCGCGGCACACGCAACGAGAATGGCCAGATCATCATCCAGAACAAGCAGGACATACTCAGCCTGCTCAGCGAACAGCAACAGCAACAGCAGCAGCAGGATAAGGCAACTGCCTTGACGCTCAATCAGCTGCCCACAACAACAACTGTGGCACGCAAAACAATTGTCCAAACAACTCCCAACAACAACAACAACAACAACGGGAGCAGCAACAGCATCTCCATCGTGGCCAGCAGCGGCAAGGACTCGAACACGATCCTGCTGCAAACGCCCATCAATGCCAGCCAGCTGGAGAGCGTGCTCAAGGCGCAGGTCAACTCCAACAGCAGCAACAGCAACAGCAACAGCAACAACAACAACAGTAACAGCAACAACAACAACAACAATGCCACAAAGCTCATCGAACGTCCGTTCATGCTAAAACATGTAAGCAGCAATACTTTATAGATTCTTGTATGCCCTTTTTAGAGGGTATTATGATTCGGTCATGAAATGTTTAAAGCATAGAAAGAGAAATCTCCATACCCATAAAGTCTATCTATATATATCTATTCTGGATTAGCATCAACAGCCGAGCTGATAAAGTCGTGTCCGTCTGTCCTTCGCCCCTCCGTTCGTCCTTCTGTCTATGCACTATGATCCCCATATACCAGCCAAATGCTTTTAAGATCGTAACACTATATCATATATTTCTCATAGGAACGATCGGTCGAAAAGCAGTTTCTTGTATGACTAACCTTTTTTGAATATTTAAATATCTCGACCAAATTGATAAATTTCACTATGTCCCATTCATATATGCAAAATTTGATTAGTATTGGGCTGCCAAATCATAGAAAGTCTATATATAAAACTGTTTGCAAAGGTCAAATCGTAAGAGCTAGCTAGCTGAACTTTCACTTACCTTATTTGATGAAAAATCGAGAAAAACGTTTGTATGGAACTTGCTTGTTCACCATCCGATCGGTCTTCATTTCAGGGGCGTTTCATACTTATCAAAAAATGCATTCCTCCATGGTGCTAACGGGGTCATCGATTTGGTGGGCGTACATACGCACATGCATACATACATATATACAAACATATATGCATACATGCATGCATACATTCATATATACAAACATATATGCATGCATGCATACATATGAACATACATTCATATGAACATATAAACATATGTACATACATACATATATATGAGCATACAAATATACATATGTACATACATATACATACATATGTAAATACATACATATATAAATATATATGTACACTCGTAACTACACAAAAAAAAAACAACAAAAAACAACATATGAGCATACATACAAACATACATACAAACATACATACAAACATACATACATACATATATACATGCATACATATATACATGCATACATATATACATGCATACATATATACATGCATACATATATACATACATACATATATACATACATATGTAAATACATACACATATACATATATATGTACACACGTAGATACGCACAAACAAAAAAAAAACAAAAAAAAAAACCAAAAAAATACCAAAAAAAAAAACACTGCACTACTAGCTAAGCTAGTGTAAAACTGCAGAGTCTACTTGAAGTCTTGAGAATCGAGGAGGAGAGCACGTGGCAGAAATTCGTTTTAATTAAATTTGCAGCAAAGCGAAAAATCAGTTTGACCTGCGTTTGGTATAAGAAAACAAGCATGCATGAGTACATATATACATACATGCATGCATACACTCACACACACACGCCCACACACACACACATGCACACACACACTATGTATATAACTTTTATATGTCTTTTTTCAAAGTACTTGTATACTTACAAACAATAATACAAACATGCACACATATATATACATACATACATACGTGTGCATGCACATACATGTTATACATACATACAGACATGCACACACAAACACATTCGCATACATGCATACTTCTATGCCTGTACATCCAATTTCACATTATCCTACACAACATCAGACATAGACACAAAGATAAATACATAAATGCATACATACGTACATACATGCGTACATACAAACATGCATGCATACATGCATACACATGCAATAATATATAATACAAAATAATGCCTGTTAGTTGACAATAATTTGTTGATAAAACAGGAAAATTTGTTCTACTTCATGATTTTTGTTTTTTTTTAACTAATTTGAATATTTAGCCAATGTCATTTGGCATTTTTGCCTTTTCTTCTTCTTCTGCCTTTTGATAAATGATATATATATGTATATATATGTATATTCCTTAGCGGGACGATCTGTGTTCCCTTCGTCCAACTACAAAAGCTCGTGCAGTTTCTCACTTTCTGAACGCTTTTGTTCCTTTTTTCGTTTTAGGCCTCGCGCAGTTTGAGCTCGGAGAGCAATTGCGACAGCAAGTCGCCTTTTGTGCTGCAGACGCTGAAGCGCCTGGAGAAATCGCAGTCAATTCTGGTGATACGCAACTCGACGTCGACGGCGACGGCGACGGCGACGAGCGCAACGGCAGCGCCGCAGGTGAGCGGCAAAAGCAGCAGCAGCAGCAACAACAACAGCAACAATGGGCCGCAGCAGCAGACGCACGTGTTGAGCGTGTCGCGCAGCTCGAAGTCATCCAAGGCCGCGGTGGCTGCCTCGCTGCAGAAGCTGAAGGCGCCGGCGACAGCGGCAGCTGCTGGCACGACCATATTGAGACTGAGCAAGCAGGTGGCAACAACAACAACAACAGCAGCAACAACAACAGCAGCAACAACAACAACAGCAACAACAACAGCAGCAACAACAACGACAACAAATAAAGTGTCCATGCCGCAAACGAATGTGCCACTGGGGACAGGTAAGTCTGACTCGCACACAATGCCTGACAGTCGGGCTAAGGGGGGGCATGGGGCAGGTGAGCTATTTTTGCCTGCATTTTAGATGCGCCACATAAATCTGCAAGCTGTGTACAGAGATTGCACTCGGTTGTCTCGCGGCGCCTTGACGTACAATTTTGACAATTGGCCATTTTTGTTGCCTACTTTAAGGACGCGCACATGTCCTTGCTGTGCTGCCGGCGAGCGCGTCGCGTACGTGTCCAGCCTAACAATTATTCAATTAAATGCGAATAAACTTGGCCTCAGGCCGCCTTTTTTCTTGACTAGCCCCCTTCCGCCCGTCCCTTGGCTGCCCCACCACACCAATTGCTGTTGTCCAGCTGGGAACGCGAACGGCGGCTCATTGATTTTCACACTAGCCAGCATTTGTTAAGATACCCTGCAGGCACAAGATCACACAAAGGGGTATACACAATCATGCTGAAGGTCCTGGCATAAAGAAGAAATTCAAATGTCTTCTGTTTTTACTGGAGAGTTCGAGGCTCAAACTTTGTGCTTTACTGTATGCAGATATATAATATATAATATAAGAAAATAACATAGAAATTGAAAATTGAGTTTGAACCGGCGACTTTTTGCTTGCTGGTTCGACGTTCAGTCCCCATATATAAAGCTCCATAGGCTATACCAGTCTTTTTTAGGTAAACATAAATATTGAAATTGTAAATACTTTCTGGGTTTGAACCGGCCACTTTTTGCTTGTTAGTTCGACGTTCAGTTAATTCCCATGATATATAGTTCGTCTTCTCTATAGCTCCACTGGGTATCCCAGTCTTTTTTAGGTTAAAACGAATATTACAACTGGTAATAGTTTCTGGGTTTGAACCAGCGACTTTTTGTTTGTTAGTTCGACGCTCACTTGCCACATATGCAGCCTATCTATAGCTCGTCTTCTCTAAAGCTTTTTTAGTCTTTTTTAGGTAAAAACAAATAAAATAATTGCAAATAGTTTTTGGGTTTGAACCGGCAACTTTTTGTTTGCTAGTTCGACTTTTCGTCCCCTTTTTAATTGCATTTAATTAATAGCTTTAGTCTTTTCTAGGGTATCTTTGTCTCCATGCCACACTACTCTTGATGCTGTCTCTGGGGGGAAATGGCAATTGGCAGCTTCTCGTTTTGTGTTGCTTTTTGAGATGCTTGTTTCTAGTTCTTCTTCCTCTTCTTCTTCTTCTTCTTCTGGGTCCAGTGTTCATTAGCGAGCGTTGTTGCAGCTTCGTGAATGAATTCCGCCACCGAATGTTTCCTTTAACTGTAACCTGTAACGCGAGCAAATTAGTTCATTTGAGCGTGAAGCGCTCAAGAACATATTTGATTCAATTGATCCAATTGAATGTGTTTCAAGCTAAAAACTTTCCTAAGTGCTTTCCCTCACGGCTTTCCAGATAATGTTGAGCAGAGTTCACGAAAAGCCACAAAATGTGAAACGTTCGCCTGGCTCTTGACTGAGCAAAGTTTTATTTCAATAATTATTTTTTCTTCTTTATTAAAACTCCCTGAGATTTCGCCTGGTCTCTGAAAAAAAGTCTATATTATTGCTTAATCATAAAGTTTCTCGCAACAACAACTTCTCCAAGGTTCACTTTATTCTTGCTTAATGATTTCCCATCTTGACTTTGACTGTGTTTAATGAGCTTATCTACAGACTGGAATTTCCTCCATGTTCACATTATTCTAGCTTTCATGCAATGATCGTGAACTATGTCTGCACCCTTTACGGTCTTTATCCTGTCCTCCATGTTCACATTCGTCTGGCTTTTCTTTCACGTTTGGGCATTCAATTGTACTTTTGATCTGTGCTTTGATTATTTGATCTACATGGTCATGTACATGGACATGTTCCTTGCCCTGTCCTCCATGGTCACTTTATTACCACTCACTTGCTTAGGGCTGGAGTTTTGCTTGCGAGCTGAGCTTGGAGTTTGCATTCCTTTGATCTCACCTGCGATTGCTTTATCTACATGCTGTACAATCTTTGTCATGTTCATCATTTTGTTAATACTCATCTTTGGGTCCTCCATGGTAACTTTAGTCTAGAAGACTTTGCAGTTCTAAACCATGTTCACTTTAGCGTTTGTTTAGATGCTGTCAATGCATTTGTCTAGCATAGTTTCTATCCAAATGCTGTTGGGCTACTGTTGAAGGGTATGTAGGGGGAGGGGAGGAGAGTCGGGGGGGTCAATCCTTATGAAGTAGTGCTTAGTTCTAGCTCGGGTTTTGTAGATTGTCGCCCTTCGATTAGCCAAGTGGCAGCTGGCGTTAAAATAAGCTGCACGTTTACGTGGAACGCCTCGGGGCAGCAGCAGGAATTGCTGAGCTCTACACAAAATGCGCTCGTCTGGCTCTGACGCTGCCTCTGCCTCTTCCTCTTTTCCTTCTTGTTGTTGTAGCCCAAAATGTGCGACAATTCCAGCAAGAGTTATAGAGTTTCTCTCTCTGTCCGTCTGCCCGTCTGCTCGTCTGTCTCGAGGTGTTGATTATGGCACTCGATACAGAGCGAGGGCATCCTTTGTTTTTTGGCCATCTTCTTTTTTTTTTTGTTTTTTCATACTGCTGACAAGGGCTTTGTCGAGGAGGCAGCAGCTAAGTGATTTTTAAGCCAGATTTAAGTTATGGCCAAGACGATTGCCTTGTGGGCGTCGTCAAGTGGCCAAAAAGTGTCGAGCTGTCGCGGCATATTGCAAAAGCTCGAGTATTGCTGATGTTTCAATTGCTGTCGACATCAGACTGCCTGCCCTCAACACATATGCACAAGGCACACATACACTGACAGAAAATACAAGAACTTGAGTGAAGAAAATAATCTAGTCGCGATTTGCATTTAGTACTCGTTTCCAGAGACGAGCTCAACTGAGCAGAGCTCAAGTCGATGTTTAACATTTGCTGCAAACTTGCTCAGCATTTTTTCTCAGTGCATGGCGGTATCTATGCATATCACATGTGTGTGCCTGTGCCGAATGCAGACATCCGTGAGATACTTATCTGACTTGCAGTCAACAAATGCAAGCGCCTCACACACACACACACACACACACACACACACACACACACACACTGGCTGGCAGGCAGGCAGGTTTCCATTTTATTGATAAAACTTTGGCTAAAATTTTAAATATTTTAATTTAGTTGCAGCTTAGTTCAGGCCATATTGTTGCTGTTGTTTTTTTTTAGTTTGTTTTTGGCTTTATCATAGCCCTACCCGAAGCCCATTAGCTAAAAGCCGCCCAACCTTCATAAAAGCGCCAAAAATTCATAGCTCTGGCATTTCTATTTCTTTTGATGCCCCTTAACAAGAAGCGAGGGTATATCGAAGTGGGTTAACAGATAAATATGTTTGTTTGAGCTGCCAGGAAAAGTATTTCCTAGGTTGACTAGAAGAGTTCAAGCTAGAACAGATATATGCATATATAGCTAAATAATATATTATATTGTTTAGGACATAATCATATAATAATATATTCCAGTTTTGATATAAGTATATTATTAAAGATTTCTATTGGACTCACGCGTGTTTAGATCGCACTCAAAAGAGTTCGCCCTGCCCTATTGCAGGGTATTTCTCAGTCAGTCAGTTGGGCAGCCAGTTTTTTACTATTGCTTTTTTTTCTTTCTATATCTACTTTTTTTTGTTGAAGGTAAGCAAATTAAACAAATTACCAACAAACAGCGGGCACAGGCGCGCGCCCCCCACCGAAATGTATCTATGAGATACTTTTGCATGCATGCAAAAAAAATGACCAAACTTTTATTTTTGGCAGTTTTCTATTTTTGCCTTTTTTTTTCGTTGATTTTCTTCAAAAATCCTTTTGGCTTCTCGCTTCATTATCATTTTTCGAGCACATAATTGCCAAAAGAAACAACAACAACAAAATGGCCGAAAACTTTTGCGCTTTGTTTTTCGGCAAAAACAAAAAAAAATGGAAAAAAAAAACTTTTGCATTTCCGTTGTTGTTATGAAACTTGAGAGCGTGCGCGTCCAGTGTTGCAAAAGGCAACGAAAAAAAAGTGGAAGCGGGCAAACGAGTAGCTTCTTTTGCTTTGTAGTTCTTTTCTGTATACCCTGTGCACATTGCATGTGCTTGAGAAGGGTATATGGGTTTTGTGCTAATGAGTGTAACAGGCGGAACGAGGCGTAGTTTGTTGAAAGGCATCACTCGAGGAACTAGAAACTGTAAACTTGGTTGGAGAGCTGCCTTCAACAGGCAGCAGTAGCTAAACATGATTAGAAAGCGGAACTTGAGAGTTATATAGAGAGGTATATAGAGAGTATTCGCATATTACAACTAGTTCACTTTTTGGTAAACTTCCCTCAATGGAGAGGAAGGTAAGCCGGCATAAGTCGAGAGTTATTAGAGCTATATATTCCTGCTTTCAAACTTCTTCAACAGTCGGAAGAAGAAGATCTACATGTTTAGAGAGAAAATCAAGAACTATGTAAGTCCAAACTTAGTTACTTGTTTCTTATATAGAGGTAGCATATGCATATTACAACTATTTCAATTTATGAATAACTCCAAACAATTAGCCCCAAATTAAATTAATAAAAACTTATTTAGAGAGTTCGAATATTATTTATAAACATTTGGGCTTATGCCTTGAAATTCACAAAGCGATCGGACAACAAACACCGAAGTCAAGCGCGGATTAATTTCCTTTAATGAGGGCAAGAAGAAGCACACAAAAAGCGTGTGTGCATGTATGTGTGTGTTTGTTTTTGCAGTCAACTTAATTGTAATGGCAACTAGACGCTTTTAGTGCAGGGTATTTGCTAGTCGAGCACAATCGACTGAAGCACTGTATTTTTTCTTTGCTGCGAGTTAAATTGCTAAATATGATGGACCGGCGCCTGGCACCACTTTACACTCGCACACACACACACTCGCACACACACACACACTTGGCCGTGTGGGCGTCTAATTAGTTTTCACCTGTGCCTAATTGCCTCACTGCCACGCCCACAGCTCTATCTATTTGAATTGTGCTTCTTCATTTTTGTGTCGCAAGTTCTTTGCTTTAATTGGAATTGTTGCAACTTTTTGTTGCACACTTTTGAGTGTGACCGTATTTGCACGGCCCTGATTTGTTTTTTAACCCCGTCCCGCGCCCCCTAAAACTGGGCGCACATTTAGCAAATTTAGTCCAAACATGTAGGCGCACACACAAAGCGTTGCGACAGGCAAACAAATTAATGAATCCAACTATTTGCCTTTGCCTTTGCACATCACAGCTAGATATATAGACATTTTTTGCATGATCTTTCCTTTATTAGAGTATTCTAATTAGACACTTGCTCAACTTGGATCTGTAGAAAAAATCATTTGACAATTGTAGTTTGAACTTATTAGAAATACGCTGGGTCCGTTCAAAGCCGGGTAATACTCGTGTTTACCTGTAAAAACTACACCTTAATTGCAAATACCTGCGCTGATTAACTGCAAGCATATCGAAATGATGGCTAGATCCGGGATTGGGTGATTGATGGAAATCCTTGGGTTCTTCTAAGGTTTGTATGTATACGTACATATGTATTTCAATTGACTAAATACCCTGAAATCATTGAAAATGGCTAAAACGGGCATGATGTATTCGTGCTAATGTATGTAACAGGCGGAAGAAGGCATCTCCGATCCCATAAAGTATATACATGCATATATTCTCGATCATCATCAATCGAGTCGAGTTATGACTAAATACCACACAATAACACTTGCTCAAAATCAATATGCCCTGTCTTACTCACTTTCAATGCGTGCAGGGTGTAATTGCAGTTGTTTAGACATATGTACATGCAAACATATGTACATGCATACATATGCACATGCATACATATGCACATGCATACATGTGTATGTATTGTATGTATGTGTTGAGACTCAACGACAGTTAATGCTGCTGTGTGCACGTGTGTGCATCCACATGTGCTCAGAGCGCAAGCAAACGGCACTCTCTCTCTCTCTCGCTCTCGCTCTCTCGCTCTCTCTCAAGTTCACGCTCTCCGTGTGCACACGCGTTCTTCGTCAAAGTGAAGACTTTTGCAGATCAACAGCCGTCGCCTCTGTGCGCCTGGTATTTAGTGACGGCCTTTACCTTAAGACGAACGCTTGTCGGTGCCTACCCTCGTCACGATTAAAGAGTGTCGTCGTTGTTTTTGTGTAAATTAAAGAAACGAATTTATAGTTAATTTACAAATTTAAATATTTTAAATACACTACTATTCAATCACATACAGAAAAGCATGACTACAAATTTCGCTGTATATAATATACTAAATCAAGACTGTTCCTAGATAAATTACGCTTATTCGACTTCTGATCATTTCAATTGCCATCAAATATTCCGTTACCTTTTAATTCATCATTTCATCACTGAACAAATGAGTTAAATTGCGCCACTGGCAAAAAGGCTGGACTTATGAAAGATTATTATTAAAGCTCACGTAAGTTTGCTGTATACTTTTTTCCACTCATTCTATTCCAATAACAACAAGCGAAATGCGCAAGTAACATAGAGAGAATAGCAGGAGAGAACAGAAGAAATAACAGTTAGTTCACCAAGCGCACATTTGTACATACTTCATGCAGGCAGGCAAATAACTAGCCGTGCGACAGAGACAGCATGCTATCGTGCTGCACGTGTTGTGCGCTCGCTCTCCTCAATCAAAGTAGAAGGCATTTGCAGATCGCAGCAATCAACGGCTGGCGATTATGTGCGCCTGGTAGATAGAGCTGGCACTTTAGTCCTACAAATCTGGCGGCGTCATAATTAAAGCCGAAGTATATTCTTTAGATATTCTGGCACACTCAAGTAGTACAGTTTAGTTTATTATAAATAAATGCCGATCCTGGAGTTATATACCTTAGTATATATGTATATCTTCTACTCATGACCTTTGATTGTCACCAAAAATTTCATTACAAATAAGACAGAAGTGTGTCAATTGTGAATTTAAATTCTATAAACTCTCACGAGTCCAGAAACATATATCTTCCCAAAATCGGACTTTAATTAGCCGAGCTAATACCATTTTGTTAAAAAAAATGGCTACGTTTTGGCGGATTTAGTATTTTTCAGCCAAATCTTATATGTTAAATCAACGCTGTTCACGCATCACTATTTCGGAGCTTCTCAAAGCAAAGCAAGCGAGCGAGCGAGATTAGCGAATGTATATAACTGTATCAGGCAGAGCGAGATAGCAAGATCACTCAAGTCTAACCTGCTGGGAGCTGGCTTTGAGTCGAATTATGGGGAAGACAAAATAACTCAACTGCCGATTATGCTCGCCTTACATTTGGAGCTGACACTACGCTGTAGAGAAATACGAATACTGTATGCTTTCAGCTCCCCCCCACTCCTCTTCCTCTCCAAATTGCCTAGCAGCTACTCCACCTCAATGGTTCGCAGTTGACATTTATATCCTTGGTCATGCCATACCATTGATATAGTCCTGGTGAACCTAAAGGAACGAATTATAGTCGAGAAATATGTATGGTTTTTCTTTCAGCCACGCCCCCTTAATGGTTCTTAGTTGACTAACATATCCTTGGTTATACCATACCATTGATATAGTCCTTGGGAACCTAAAAATGCAGATCCCTGCGAAATTTGCATCGAAATGGTCCAAAAACATGCATGCTATTTCTTTCAGCAGACCCTCTACAGAGCTGCAGCAGCGGCTGCTGTTAAACAGCCGCGCTTACAGCACTCAATTAGCATGATCTGCTACTTAACATAACTCATTTAAAATTGAGTAACATTTTGCCCCTTTCGGGTATGCAATGAAATTTTTGTTCGGAAATTTTCGTCGACCTGCTGGGCATTTATGTTCGCCTGGTACTTCAGTCGGATTTTAGTGCAAAACTGGCGACCCAGCCGGCGGCGAGGGCGCCCCTTTCGGGTATGCAATGAAATTTTTCGGCAGCTTAAAAATTCTTTGGCGACCTCCTGGGCATTTCTGTTCGCCTTGTATTTTGGCTGATTTTTAGAAAAATCTCGACAGCCAGCCGCTGCCAACGGACGCCCCTTACGGGTATGCAATAGATTATTAAGGATCAGTAAAAAATATTTAAAATTTGTTTTTTAAATGTAATTCTTATCAAAAACTGCGAAAATTAAACCTTTTTGAGCATAAATAACATTTGTAGCTTATTTTTACATAAATTGGCTATATCTAGCGTGTAAAAAGTCAGATCCTGGAATGTATATCCTTGTAGGATTCGTGAATGTCCTTGGAATCGATTGCTGTTCCTTGAAATCATCAATCTGTAAAGATAAAATCACATTTTAATGAAAAAAATTAAAAATTATATTAGAGTATTTTGGGTTAGAAAAACAGCCATAACACGGCCATATCCTTGCAGATTTTCAAAGGACATGGTGCGTTAGGATCTTCAGGAGCAACCGCATCGATCTGCATCAAAACATTATGGGGTCATCTAAGAATCATGTACTTAGAAAATTTTCAGTCTCGGGGCGCCCGGAAATAAGCCGAAAATGGGTGAAAATCACAAAATCCTTAATATCTTGGAAACTACAAGGACGATCTTGATGCAATTTGGCCAGTTGGTAGTCCTAGTCAATACAATTTTTTTGACACATGATTCGCCAGGATACTCCAGGATATGGCCGAGTTAGAGCCTATTTTCTTTACCCAAAATTGTCCTTAAAACTTTTTTGTCTGAAGGACTTTCGTCCTTCGGGTGGTAATTTCTTAAATGGGAGGGTGGGGACTATCTGCTGGCCAAAGGACATCCCGATAGTCCTTCAAATGGCGAAGTTAGCCCGGATTTTTTCGGTTTTGGTCAATTTTGTGACCAAACCCCTAGGAAAAATTTTGGTGAAAATTTTTGTCGAAATATGGAAATCTTTGAATGCCAATCCATAGTCCTGCTCCTTACGATCTCAAAAAGGTATATCCTTCCGATATCCTTAAGGATTTGGCCGAGCTATGGCTAAAAACAAAATGTCCTTGGGAGAAAACTAGCCATATCTCTGAAACCACAAGGACGATTTTGATGACCTTTGGCCAGTTGATAGTCCTAGTTCCTACGGTTTGTTTGACATAACACTTGTAAGGATTCGCAAGGACACGGCCTATTTATAGCATATATTCAAATGCAAGGCAAATGTCCTTTTTTCTTGGCTATTTGAAGGACTTTCTTTTATCTATTTGTTGACTCTAAAGCGGGAGGATAAGGACTATCGGTGGACTAAAGGACATCTCGATAGTCCTTAAAATGGTCAAGTTATGACCGATTTTTGAATTAATGTCCTTTTTAAACAAATAGCTGAATTTCGGAAACTACGAGGACGATTTCAATGCCATTTGGATGGTTAATAGCCCTGATCTATACAGGATATTTAAAAAAGGACTTGTAAAGATCTGCAAGGATACGCGCAAGCTATGGCATATTTGCTCTACAGACAAAGGTGCTCTTTTCTGGACTGTTTAAAGGACTTTTGTCCATTTCTAAGCATATTCTAAATTGGGAGGATGTGGACTATTGGTTGACCAAAGGACATCGCGAAAGTCCTTAAAACGGTCAAGTTATGGCCAATTTAGAGATTAATGTCCTTTTAGGGGAAACTGCCATAGCTCGGCCAAATCCTTGTGGATTTTCAAATGGCTTGGTGCATTCGGATCGTAAGGACCAACTGCATCGATCTACATTCAAGAATCTAAGGATTATACTAATTATATGTCCCATATTGGAGAGCCTGGAAAAACTTATAATCGAAGTAGTTCGAAGCCCGTGTCCTCTTCTACGCCGGGAGCTGGCCATTGTCCGCAGTTGTAGCTCCAAAAGCATCCCAACAAGTTGGCAATTTTGTTATCCTCAAATCGCCTGAAAAATTAGGATAATGTAAAATGAACTGAAGGACTCTCAACTTATGATCTTACCTGGTAAAATAGCAGGCAGGCTGCAGTAGCTCAGAGCCCGTGGCCTCATTTACGCCGGGAGTTGGCCTTTGTTAGCGGCAAGAGGACGCGGGAAAGCAAACAGACGGCAACTAGTGGGATCACAGCCAAATAGGGCAAAGTTGTCTTCAAATCGCCTGAAATTGCAAGAGAATGTAAAATGAACTGAAAGATCTTTAATAAACGATCTTTTATTACCTTTTGTTTATAAAATGAGTTAAAGCTTGTTCACTTGCTGGGCATTGCTGTTCGCCCGGCACTTCAGCCAAATACTGGCGCCCCTTGCGGGTATGCAATGAATTTTGTTATTTGCACATGCTGCTGGCCTGGTATTTAAGTCAAATCTTCCACGCTAGCAGCCAGTGCAATCTTTGTGACTGTTTGCTCTTTCATTTTAAATGAAAAAGTTTCCATTAGGCAGTGCCAAAGTCCAAATGACTATAGCTTGGGAATTGGCAGCAAGATTTCGTAAAGATGCACGCTTCCGCAAAATTGTAAGTCTCATGAGTAAGTTGTTCTCTTCGTTTTACAAAAATTTTCCACATTTGCTGGTGAAATATTTAAAGAGCTCCCCCTTAGATATAAATATTTTCAAAATGCTCAATTATATTCGGACTACATACAGTTGGGTTAGGGCTTCCTGTAGTTAAAATGATAGAACGAACCGTTTAACGATAGCTTCAAGTTGTTTTTAATGAGAAGAGGGAAAACGAAGCGCAACGAGGTGCCGGGCTGCAATTGAAATATTATAATAATTTGTATTAATCATTTTTACTATAGACACGTTACCTTATGGGGACAGGTGTGATTTAAATTGGTGAAGGGTTCCAGATACTCGAAGGCGATTATCGCAATGATGTGGTAGGGTCTACGCAGAAACTTGCACACGCTTATCGTAAAGTTGTAGAGGATTGGACGCCAGCCATTGGCGTGCTTGAAGGAGGCAATTTGCACCTGATAAGTAAACAGCAGACATTGAGAATTAACCGCAGGTTAAATATTTACAAATCACTTACATTCGCAGAGTTGTTGAACGAGCCAAAGACCAAAGACTCAAAGCCCTAATATCGCACTCTGGTCAAAGCTGCTGCAAGACAGGCTCTTGAATTTGCCATCCACCTGTTAAGTGCAATTGTCTTGAGCAGTTGCTCTCTTTCTAGATTTGCCAGGCACTTACCATGCTTATTACTATGCTCAGCCACAACAGCCACAGACTCATCAATTTATTCACCTCCATTTCCGTCGATTTGTCTTGCATTCAGTTCAATTTAACTAAAATAAACAAACATTTACTTGCCATTAGATTTGTTATCTTGTTGTGAATGTTAATTATTAATTAATTAGTTGGATTAGTTAAAGGCTATTGACATGATTTTATATAAGCGTATGGATAATTATCCAACAAATCCAACGCAAGTCGAGTTTATAATCCTGCTTAAGCGAGTTTCATTAGGGGTTTCTGCTTCTTAAAGTAGTCTAATATATTTATATTTATATATTTCTCGGAGTTATTCTCTAATTAATGGAATATCGAAAGCCTTTCGATCAACTCTCAATAGATAGCTTGCATTTGGATTAGCTGAGAATTAGTTTGAATTGAGACTTTTTATGGCATCCATCAAATCTTGGGCATACTCTGGCAATAGACCACATGGATTTTATGGACAAATAACTTGCATTTAAACCAATTCTCAGCTAATATTTATATAATATATATTTATTAATTATGAAATGTGTGTTAAACTCTTGGCAGCTGCAGCAGCAGCAGCAGCAGCACAACATGTCGTATGTGCAATATGTGCGTGTCACATATTTGCGCGTTGGCGTCTCGTGCCTCACACGTGCAGCATTTGATTAAAAATTCCATTGGCCCGTATGGAGGCCAGCTTAGGCAGGTGTGCGACTCCTAACGGGGCACTCAGCACACCTTCCGCCATTATTTGGGCCCACTGTGCCACGTGCACCACATAGCTTTGCATTTGTTTTTATATGATTTTTGTGTTTATTTGGTTTGCTTTTTTTTTCTTTTGCATTGTTTTTGTACTTTTGGGGTAGGCGCCAGTTCGTTTAGGCGCACGGCGTGTCCTGTTGCAATGTGGCAGTGCGCAGGTCCTGGTTGGCTAGGTGCTGGTTCCTCTAACGCGGCCGGAACAACCCCTAACTGCTGTCACAGTTATTCTTGTGCAATAGAAATGTTACACTACGTCCGCCTGTGTGTGTGTGTGAGATAGTGGGTGTGTGTATGTGCGTGTGCGTGTGTGTGTGTGTGTAGGTGCTGTCGACCAACCCACACAGCGGCTGGGCATTGAGACGGAATTAGGCTAATTGTGGCAGGCGGACATAACGTATACGAACCGTTGCACACGCTGGCTGCCTGCCTAATGTTCCGACTTGGGACACCACTGTGCTTGCAGGCAAGCACTCACACACACACACACGCTCACTCACTCACTCACACTCACTCACGCACGCACACAACTACATTCATCATATGCGTTGGCCTCTTGCTGTTTCGCTTTCGCGCTGCCTTCTCGCTCGCACGCACTGCACGCTGCCGCCAGCCAAACCGACGAATCCTAGCTGAATGCACACAGCCAACGCCCGAAGCGGCTTCGTGTCGAGCCGATGTTCATTGCCAAGCCGACGCGACAGCCAGGCAGAGCTCGCCGCTGTCGCGCCTGCTGGCTGCTGTCGCTGTCGCTGCCGCTGCGGCTGCTGCTGCTGCTGCTGGCAGCGTTTCAGTTTGCAGACCTTGGGCAAACGTGTCGGACGTGCTCGTGTCGTGTTCGCAACTCAACGGGATTGTTGCCGTCGTGCGTTACGTTACGTCTTACGTATTTGTGCGTTCACGTCGCATTGCCAGCAATATGCCAATATTTATTATTGTCAATATCAACAGCATCGCCAGCTGCTTGCGTTAACAAGCGCTGATCCTGGCTGCAAGCAGTTTTCAGGTTTCACGTTTGTTTATGTAATTTATTTATCTCGTACACTCATTCTATCTGTTGTATCTGTGAGTTTGTGTGTGTGTGTGTGTATTAACTGTTCATTTTAAGCTGTAATTTCCACCTCTCGTATTTATTTATTTACTTACGTTCTTGTGTCAATGTTGTCCACTGTAATTGGTGTTTTCTGCTTATTTAAACCACATTCTCCACATTCTTCACATTCCTCAATCTGAATGTAACTAGAAATTGTTAATGTCTTTATGTGTATTAAATATAGATATTATATTTATATATATTGGTGTTGTTATCGGTGTTTTTTAACTGTTATTCAATATAGACTTTAAGTCCTTTTATGTGTTTTATGTGTCTACATTTATTTGTTGTTAACTTGATGTCATTTGCTTGAAAGTTCATATATTTAGTCACTTTTTAACTGAATGTTGAGGCAGCAGGACCCCGAATCTGTGATCTATTTTTCCAGTATAAATATTAAAATGATGTTCATGTTATCGAATTTGCAATTTTATGCAGTTTTAATTTAGTTATTAATAATAAATTATTGATTAAATGTGAAAAGCTTTAAAGATTTGCTACTCGAGAAATTGTTTTCTATTCTTCTCTTAATTGAAATGGACTTTAATCAAAATTTTGTAAATCACATTGTGATCTAGATATATGAACTATATGTGACATATTTATCTGAATTAAAGGTCGATGAAAATAAAAATTGAATCTAAATCTGTAAAAAGTTACTTTCAAAATATGGATTTCCAAAAAAATGGAGTTTTGGGTTTTAAAAATTATTTTCTACAAAAAAACAGGAATATAAAATTTTATACTCCAAATTTTAACCAAAAAAAAAAAAAATGAAATATATTAAAATTTAAAAATGTGTGAGAATAGGAATGCACTATTTAAGATTTCTTTATACTTTCCGAACATTTTTAATTTGTAGAAGTTAATATTTACCAAAAATGTTTAAGCTTCAGAGTCTTCCAACTGAAAAAGCAGAAAATAGATTTATTAGAAGTATAAGAAGTTAAGCAACTGCGAGATAAAAGTGATAAGAGAAAAAGTGAATATATGAATATATAATGAAAAAGCTTGATTTCAAGCAAACTAAATTCCAAACATGTCAAAATCTGACAGAGATGAATCAGGCTTAAGCTGTTGAATGCAATCTTTACCGATTCCCATAAAACAATCTCAATATTTGGAAACTCGAAATATATTAGGCTGTCAAATCTTAAACTAATTGTCAGTCAAATGTAGCAGTAGCTGTCAGCTAACTTTTGAGTTTTACATTGTAAATATCGTGTGTATTAATAGTTGCTACAATAACCATAAGCTAGTTGTATATTGCGCTTAATCTCCAGTTACTTTTATCACATGTCAGTTGACAGTTTTACATGAGGGCAAATAATTGTTTTTTTTTTTGGGATGGATTTTGTCCAGCGCACACCAGAAATATGAATTGAACTTTGGTTCAAGGCCGCTAAAAATATGCCGAGCCTCATGTAAAGCAAATATTTATACGTTTAGATAAGCTCAAAAAACTCCACACAGATTCCCAGAACATAAATTGTGGAAATTATGTGAAGTAAAGCTGAATAAAAAAGACGATATTGTTTTAGCCAAACGTGGCAGCAACAGTTGCTGCTGTGCGCCGGAGCAATGCAAAGAAAATTTTGAAATGAAATTATTCTTTTTTTTTGACTCGTGTGTCGAGATAAGACGCGGATAAGGACTTATCTCGGTCGCCGTCGAGTGACATTATCAACAAGAGAACTAAGCCTAAAATCTACGATGCGACCACAACTCAAATATATTGCTGAGAAAATTTATTTAAATTCGTAATTGTGGCCGAAGATTTGAACTTGTAGGAAATACATGCGAAACGCGCAGATTAGTTAACAAATAGATTTCAACGCACCAAGACGCCATCTAGCGCAGCGCGCAGTGAACTAAACAAAAGACAACTTTTAACTGCAAAAATCAAGTGAACTTTTTAAATAGATATATATATATATATATATATATCTGTTTATATGGCCGGTTATCGTGCGCTGCCGCTGGCGCCCGTCTCGGCCACAGCGGCTGCTGCGGTGCAGCCGGGCAGCGGCCATCCGGGCCCCACCATGGCGGCCTATGCCGCCCATCACCACCAGTCGATGACGGCGATGTCCAATAACGGTATTATCTATCAGTCGGCGGTGCACGCCTCCATACACAGCTTGAATACAGTACAAAGCCAGCATCGCTCATCCACAACGCATCATCATATTCTAGCCACGGCCACGGCGACAGCAACGGCAGCAGCGGCAACAGCAGCAGCAGCAGCGGCAGCAGCAACCGCTGCAGTGGCCGTTGCGCTGCCAACAACGCCGACAGCAGCAACAGCAACAGCAGCAGCAGCAGCAACAGCAGCGACAGCTGCAATGCAGCCGACGGCAGCAGCAGGATATGGCCAGCAGCAACATATGCAGCAGCAGCAGCAACAGTTGCAGCTGCAGCCTACACATCAGCAACATCAACAACATCAACAACAACATCAACAGCAGCAACATCAACAGCAGCAGCAACAGCTCATGCTGCAGCAGCAACACGCACATCAGCAACAGCAGCAGCAACAATTGCTGCCGCAGCAGCACGCACATCAGCAACATATACAACAGCAGCAACAGCAGCATTTGGGCATGACGCCCGCGCTGCACCACCACCACCATCATCATCATCACCATCAGCAGCTGTCGCTGCACCAGAACCACCTGTACTTCAATGGCCACCTGGGGGGCCATCATCATCATCATCATCGGCAGCTATTTAGCCATTTGCAGAGCGCACTTTTGCCGCTCAGTGTCAGTAAGTATGCATGTGTGTGTGGCGGTCACAATCAATTAACTAATCAAACAATTGGTCAGTCCATCAATCAATCAATCATTCAAGTTTGTACATGCATTTGTTCTAAACGTGTCGCATGTTTGTCTATGTTGTTATAGCCATTTTCAAGCCAATTTTAAGCTCTGTTTTCTAGCTATGTTTTTTTATTATTATTGTTGTTGTTGTGTGTATTTTAAATCTTTAAGTTTAGACTTGAGTCCTTCTTCTTCTTCTACTTGTTCGGTCCCCCTTTGTTTATCGCGCTGTTGTTTGCAACTCATTTTCATTTTATAAACATTTCATTAAATTTTATTTCATATCTTCCTGGTGCAATAATTCGCACGCCATTCCACAAAACGCGTGCGGAGCGTCGCGCCAATGTTGCACGGTCGAGCGCTTATTGTTCGCCTTCTTGTTGTTGTTGTTGTTGTTGTTGTTGACAAAGGACATGCACTGATACACATTACACTACACTCACACACACTTACGCCCCGGCATATCCTTTAACGAGTGCGAGCCTCAATCTAAACTACAAACAATTGAAAACAAAAGGGACACAAAACCCAAGGCTCAGGTGTTTCTGCTCTGTGTGTGTGTGTGTGTGTGTGTGTGTGTGTGTGTTGGAGTGCGTGTGTGTGTGTGTGCGTGTGTTGGTGTGTGCGATTTTATGCCTCTAACAATGCAAAATATGCCCAACATTTGATATTTTTTTGCCGTTTCGTCCACATTACGTTCGCCATTTGTTTCGCGTTTTAGCTTAGTTTTTTGCTGCCCCTGCCCCTGCCCTGCAGCCCGTTGCCTTGTCTTTTGTGTTGCACATTGAAATATGTCAGCAATTGTGCAACGGTTTTTCTTGCGTGTACCCCGCACACACACACACACACATCGCCAGCTCCATTGTCACATTAGATTTTGTTGCCCCCAGCGACAGCTTAACTTTATTATTTTAACTTAACGGCATTTTAAGTGTTTTTTATATGCAACAACAATGGGTATGTCGCTGTTTGTGTGTGTGTGTGTGTTGCGAGTTAACATTTCATGCAACGGCAACAACAATAACAACAACAACAACAAGAAGAGCCGCAGCCACAGCCCGTAACAAAGTCGTTTTCTCGTTTATGAGCAGCTTCATTATGCGCGTTTTGTAGCATACTTTTCAGCGCCGCACACATGCTCGGCTGCCCCCGCTCTTGCTCCCGCTGCTGCACACCCACTCAACTCCACTTTATACACACACACGTCCCTCGACTGTTCGTCCCCCCGTCCGCGTCTCACTCAATCGCCGTTTTGTCACTTGGGCACGCTAAAAACTTTGCAACCAAAGTGCGTCAATGAAAAACCAACAAGTGTGCAATGTGTGTGAGTGTGTGTGTGTCTAGCTGCGTGTGGGTGTGTGTCTTTGGCTGCCACTGTTGCCGCTTGTTGTGCCAGTCAATTTTATTGTCTTTGGCATGCCATTGTTGTGACTACCTCCCGCAAGGCCTGCTCCCTCTCACTCTCTCTCTCTCCCTTTCTCTCTCTCCCTTACTCTCTCGCTCTGCTTCTCTCTCTGTCTAACTGTCTGTGCTCCTGGTCATGCTGGCCCTCCCTATGCTGGTCAACCTCAATGCTAGGCTCACAAGAGCTATAATACAGTTGATATGCAATATTTAAATTATAAAGCTTGGCTTTAGTTATATTTAAGCGTCTCTATCAGAAGCTGTTTTACAGTGATGCCTCGTTAATTGAAACTGTCAGCAACTGGCATACATTTTTTTGAATAAATCTAGCGCCTTGACACTAGTTTGAGGACAATTAGTAGAAACAACATTACTTTATATCAATACATATCTTTTGAATTTTGAAGAACCGCATTTGTCTGGTTCATGAAAAGGATTTTGTTTTTTGCCTCCGAGGGTTTACTGTACCAAGTATCACTAACTATATCTATGTAGATCTATATATAATAATGCTTAACCTGACTGAGTTGATAACGGATTAACTGCTTAACAGTAATATGTAAGAGATTGATTAAAAGTTCCACCCGCATGCGTGAAAAAAGGGTGAAACGTATTTTTCTGACGTACTTAAGCCATCTTTAAGCCATAAAAGCGGTTATAATTACTTTATTAAACAAGTCTCTACTAACTTTTCAGTTGTTCTTAAAGCATTTGTCTTAAAGCTCACATTTGACATATTTCTACTCAGTACTCGGTACTCAGTACTCGATACTAATGTCGATTTGGTCGCATTTGCTGCTTGCGAACGTTCAAACTGTGACATTTTATAAATGTATAAGCCACAATGTCAGGGGACCAAACTCTAAAAACTCGACTTCACGCAAAGTGTGAAAAAGTCATAAAAGAAAAAAATCCAAATAAGAAAAAGCAGAGCTCTAGTAGAAAGTCGCAAGTTGACAAAATTTTAATAAGGCACTTTGCTGGCCGCCTTTTGCATGCCAAGCAAGGCGGTCGCCAGCTGCCAGCTGCCAGGGGCGGTAAGGGGCGTTAGGGGGGGGGGGGGGTTTGGTTTGACCAACGTGAGCAATAAAAAATTCAAAATGCTTCACATACGAAAAGGAAGAAGGATTTGTCAAAGATCACGTACTCAATAAATATTGCCCATGAGCCGCACAGTTGGCTACACTTTTGTATTTGGACTCCTTTCTGTTTTTTTTTTGTATGTCCAACTGCAAGTGTGTGTGTGTGTGTGTGTGTGTGTGTGCCTTTAATTTGAGGCCAGTTATGGCCTGGTACAGCTGTGGGCGCGGTTGCATTTGATGTGCGCCTATTAATTTCCACTCGGCAATTCAATTAGTTGAGCCATCCCGGAATATGTTTGTCGTCCTATTCGTCCTGGCTGGATATCCTTGCCGCTTGCATCGCCTGGGTTTACCGTGGCACGTAATATATATGCTCATATTACTAAAAGCTACATAAATCGTGTTGGGGGGCTTTAAGCGACGGCAATTTATAGCCCAAAAGTGTTTTGAAGCAAACTTTTAAAGTTCGCCTTTAAAGCGGGTCCTTTGCCAGGCACAGCCAGGGGCAGGGAGGCAGAGGCGGACAGTCGGACAGGCGCCTTGTTGTTTAGCCTGATCGATGGGCGAATGGTGACAAAATGCAAGGCCTAGGCCTGGC